ATTTTTTTCTCAGTGTATGTACATATAAAATATGATTAATATGAAATATAATTATACTTTTTGTATAATTAGTCGATTAACAATTAGAGATTAACAATTATCATCGACGCTGCGTTTTATCGGTTACGAACGCAGATTATCTTTCAATCAACTTCGATCAACATCGAAATTCTATGCGAATTCCAATTCTTACGCGAGCGAAAGATATACGTTGTCGTTTATTAATCATTACTGACTTTCGCTTAGAACACTTTCCTTTCCCGGAACACCTAGACGTACAATCACGCGATATCATTCGGTTGTAATGATGTAAGATCAGAATGTCTAAAAATTGGCGAATTAAAATACCACAGAAAGACACCTTATATAATAGACGGAATTAACGTATATAATTCCTGTTTAAAATGATACAATCTAGTTTCAAATAAAAAGAAAAAAATGTTTAAAATAAAAATTCTTATTTAAGGGCGCATTACTTGGGGCAGGTGGTTCCGTAATTGGAATTGGCTCAGACTTTGGTGGTTCTATAAGAATACCTGCTTTTATAAACGGCATTTTCGGGCACAAACCCACATCTGGTAAATTAATTTTCTTTATTATATTGGTATTCCCATTGTGATCCATTGATAAACTTAATTCTTTTAATTAAATCTTGTTGCTGTTTTAAATTACTTTCGGATACATATACCTATTAAAGATATTAAAAAAACGTCTTACAAAATATTTTAAGTACAAGTTCGCTGGAAAGATAAAATGGAAAATTGAAGAAACTGAGCGGTTTTAATATTAACCATATTCTCTCCTATTCGTTTTGCAGGAATTATTCCGACTAATGGACACTTCCCATTCACCGAAGACAAATACTTTCATAAGTTGCTAACCTTTGGTCCAATGACTAGATACGCTGAGGATCTTGGTTTGCTCATGAAAGTGATGACATCGAAATGCAATCACGACTTGCGTTTAGATGTGCCGGTAGACTTGAAGCAAATAAAGATCTACTATCGACAAAGTTTGGACAAAACGATTGGTGTATTATCCATGTCACAGGAAATTGAGAATTGCGTTCTGAAAGCCGCTAATCATTTCGCGCGATATAATGTTCATGTCGAAAAGGTACAGTATTTGCAGCTGATATATCAATATGCACGCAGGATTTAACGTACGTTAACTTGACATTACAGTTACCAATAGAGTGGCCAGTAACAATTATCGACATTGCGTTAACGGGATTCTTGAATATAAAAAAGCCGCCTCAAATGGTGCTAGACGCGAGCGATTCCAAGGTATAAAAGATGCAAAATACACGAAGATCAGTATATTAAATAATTTAAACTTAGACCTTTATAACTCTTAATGATAATTAAGTCGATATCGTTGTATTATTGTCATTGCATATTTTTTTTATTATACACAAAATCCACGTAACGACAAATATAATACGATATCGTTGGGATCTTTAAGAGAATATAGGAATCTTGAGGAAGATTTAATAACCTAGCTAATTTTCCATACGTGAAAGTCACATCACGTACATGCCTTTTCCCGCTGAAAAAAATGCGGACGTATTTCACTGTAAGATATTACGATAGAGATATTGCAGCCTGCTAATGCAGAATTGTTGCAATGTTGTTTCAGAAGTGGGGTACTTAATTTATCAACATTATGATATTATTATTAGAATCTCAGAACTAAAAAATAAAATGTATTATATGTACAGTTATATTATATACAGAGGAGATCGGAGCAAATTGTTACAATTTTTTATTAGGAATTTTTTTCCGTATAAGTTTATTTATTTAAATTACTGAATACCTATGTTTCAAGTACTTTATCTAATCAATTTTTTCTGATTTATATCTATGTTTTTAAAAAGTGAAAATTAAGATTTTCTATCAATAGGTAAATTGTAATAACTTACCCTATTATGGGGCAAGTTGTTACACTTATTAGGTGTTGGAATTAATTCGTAGCGTTTTACAAGTGATGGGAAGTACTTTCATTAATGTATTTTTTAATGCTCATGTGAAATAAATAACATTCTTTCATTAAAAACGCTACGAATTAATTCCAACACCTAATATAATATCACTTGAAAAAAAAATATATATATATATTGTATATAAGCAAATTCAATATTACAGTATAAAGCATATTCAAAATTACAATGAAATTCAACATAAAATATTTCACAAGAAATATTTATTTTATAATACAAAATTAAAAAAATTTTTTTTAAATAAATTATTAAAGTTAACGTTGGAAAGTCAGAAAATTAATATTACATTTGTTGCTTTTCTCACAGACAGGTGGCCATCTTTTAACTTTTTTTGCCGCTGTCGCGATACGATTTCTACATTTATAGATTCTCTGTTTATCTTTTTTTTTGTAAGATCATTCCATAGACTTTTATAATTAGACTACTGACTCATTATGATAGAAAGAAATGAACCTGATTCCTAGTTGTACTTGTTTCAGTTCATATATGCGTATGTATGCGTCCTGTTTGTAAAAATCGCATAAATTTCTGTGAAAACACTAACGTTCTTATCCGTGTGATTTATACATATAGAGTGAACACAAATATAGTGCTGCCTAGAACTGCTTCAAACATGGACACGAAGTCGACAATCTATTTATAAACCTGTGCATCATTCTGTAGAAGAAAAAAAATTATTTTCAATGGAGTACAGTGTAAGTTGTTACACTGTAACAACCTGTCCCGATCAAAGTTAACAACTTGTCCCAATCTTCCATTTCCAATTCGAAAAAACAAAAGATCAAAAAGTACATATCGATTCAAAACAAAATGTGTTATTATAATCAAATGTATACAAAAGAAGTATACAAAAAGATAATCACATAACTGTAAATTATATATACAATAACACAAGCGATATACAATAAAATATTTACTTTTAATAGTAAAAATCAAGAAAATATGCGTAATGTCTTCTAGAATTGAAATAAGGCGGCTAAACTAAGTGAAATTGTAGAGTATCATAAGAATCACATATAAAAATTCATAAAAATGTGGCAAAAAAACAAACTGTAATAACTTAGACGGAGAGCATAGATTCTTGCATAACACAGAATGCATAAGAAACTGAATCAATCAAAGTCCTTTATTTTCTTCCTTTCCATGAAATAAAGGACTTTGATTGGTTGATTTTCTTATGTCTTATGTTTTATGCAAGAGTCTGTGCTCCCGATTAACTCCCTGTAACAATTTGCTCCAGTCTCCCTTACAACTAGATGTAAAAGATACACTTCAGTTTTGGATTGATGATGTAAAAGACAGCTCCAGTTTTGTTATTATTGCGATTTATTATTATTGCAGCACCGTAAGAATTTAAACGTCGAAATGATGAAAGTTCTATTTGGTCTGTCAGAACATACGAAACAGTTGTTATTCTTCACTTTTCCATTGGAAACGCATTTTCCATTCACAGAATCAGAGATATCGCATTACACGAAGCATGCAGAGGAAATTCGACAGAAACTGCTGGTTAGTTCTGGAAGTCTAATACAATTATCATGTCTGTACAAGTCAATTTCGTTACCAGGTTTTTTTACATTTAACTGCCGCTTTCCTTCGTCTGTCCTATAGGATCTATTGGGAGACAATGGCGTACTTATTTACCCGACCTTCCGAAAGCAATTTCTTCCGCAGTTTGTATTATGCGAATTAATGTCCGTTGCGAACTGCGCAATATTCAATCTTATCGGTTTTCCCGCGGCGCATGTACCAATGGGGCTTAATCTGCACGAAGGAATGCCCACAGGCGTTCAGGTAAATTTTAATTAATCAATTCAGATTAAATAATATATATATATATATATATATATATATATGTATATAAATTTAGATCATAGCTGCGCCTTATCAAGATCGTCTCTGTCTGGCGGTTGCAAAAGAATTGGAGATGGCCTTTGGTGGCTGGGTACCACCATCTGTATCAATAAGCGATTAGGAAATGTATTCGGTTTTTTTAAGTAAAAAAAATGTATCGAGCTAAGAGTCATATCTTTACAAAAACAAATGGTGCACAAATAAAGGATCTTATAACGATCTTTATATTAGCAATTCCTCTTACAATATTTCAACATAAGTCTGAAAATATGATGTTTCTAAATAAAATATGTATATTCTCTACTCTGCTAAAGATTTATTAATATTAATTAATAAGTTTATATAAATATTTATTAATATTATTGTATGTATTTATCATATATGTAGCAATACGTGAATTCTAAGAAATCATCTGAATGAGATCACTACCGCTTTATAATATTACTCAACATTAAATCTTTGCAAAATTTAATTCGACATATATCACTGTGTTCACAATTATTCGGCTTGTATAGTACAATTGACAGTATAAATTGTTTATTGTCCGTTTCGTCTGTATTGTTTATTATTATTTTTATTTCGAACGACTTACGTACTAAATATCATCATTATCGTAAACAAATCTTGTTATAACGTTAAGGTGTTTTCATTAAACTGTTTAATCAAGATTATTTTTATAGCTTGCAAAGGTATGTTAATAATGCATAAGCTTAATGTGATAAGGAACAACGATATCTTATCTATTTCTGTTCTTATTTATAAAGAAGATTTATACAGAAAACTGTTTTAGAATTACATAACTTTATCACGAAAAAAGATAAGTTATATATATTTTTTAAAGTTATAACCATCTTTAATTATTTAATAAAAAATATTATAGAAAATATTATAGAATACTGATGAACGACAAATGCTAGAATGATTAAAAAGCTAGATTTTTAAAATAGGAATTTTAATATATCAACAAAAAAGTTTTTTGACTTACGTAACTGAATGACGTAAAATATAATTTACGATATAAATGTATCGTTTGTGCCGTAATGTAAAAGGCACATCTCGCAAGGCACAGAATCGCCGATGTATTCATCGGGCGAGAACTTACGTAAGATACGTAAAAATTATAACAAATTTAGTGATTTATGCGGCGTTTCTTTTTTTTTTGCGCGACATAATGCAGAAGTATAATTCTTCTACAACTGCGTCGCGAATTCTTCACTTCTTGCGATCACACGGCGCAATATATGGTTTACCACCATATTTCTCCCACTCGCGATTGAATTCATGTTCTAAAACCTCGGCACCGCGTTTCCTCGTTAATCCAGTCTCATCTAGACTTAACTCGCACATCTGCATATCGTCAATGCCTAACAAACAAAAAAATAATTAATAATTTAATTGCATTTATAAATCTGAAAAATCATTTTGACGCGCAGTTTAAATGATTACATATTTAAGCTACGTTTTAAAACTTCCTTTCTGAGGAAGATTTTACTCTATATGCTGTAATATACGTTACGTGTATTATATATTTCGAGTAAAATTTTCCTTAGAGAAGAAGTTTTTAAACGTAACCTTAGTATATAAATTCACACAAAAATTATTTAAAAGCAGCTTCGACCGTAATAGACATTAAACTCTTACTTGTTGTGAAAAAAATAATTTTTTGAAATTAAATTTAACATAACGCGATATGATTTAAAGTACATGTAAAGTATAACACAAATTTAAGCAAGAATTTAAGCATTTCTGTCAAAACACTGTGAAGTCATGAAAATACCAATATAAGCTATATTTTCGTACATGCGTATAAAAAATATAAAAAATTATTCTGATGTTTTACTTTTTGTTTCAGTCGTTAGCTACGTTTCATTTACACTTTTTTCATATTATGAAAAATTAAAGATTAATCATTTTTATCTGGGTCAATTATTACTTATTATGTTTTCAGAAAGTGATTCAAAGCATTATTTACAATGCAGAGAGTTCGTATTAAATATACGAGCATAAGTAATAAATACATAAAGATAAAAACATTATGTAATACGGAATTTTACCTGCTACGAGGAGTATAGGCGATTTATCAGGATGAAGTTCCATTTGCCGTGCGACGTATTGACCATCAAAGTGCGCGTACCACCATCCTCTTTTGCCGCCACCGTGCGTGTTATCTTGCTGTCCGGCTGCAGAGGAACGAACGAAAGGAATTCGAAAATATCTCTGAGATGACTCAACTATCTGTTGCTTTAATGGAGTCCTTGGTGTTTTTGCAGCTGGAAAATGACATGTTAATTTAAGATTATTTTCCAGATTGATGAAGATATTTTTCAATCATCACACATACATATACAAATCTATTAATCTTACTAAGTAATTGCAACGTGAAAACTACTTTATGAAATTGCTTTATGATTTGATTAATCTGATTATTAGTTTTTTCTTTTGCAAGATTTCTTTGATTGAAAAAGATTGGCTGCAGTAAATTAGATGGTAAAATATGGCACAGCACTTTTAATTGCAGCAGCCAATTATTTGTTACAACAGCCAATTTTTGGCAATATCAGTATTTCGATAGATAACACAATCAAAAATTGACTGCTGTAACCAATTAAAAATGTTATGTCATAATCAGCCAATCTTTTCTTTCAGTGTAAAAAACTTGTTTAAATTCTGGCAAGATATCTATAAATATCTAAAGACTCTTTTATCTCCATTGAAATGAAATAAATAAGTTAAGTCTATTGATCGTAAGTGATCAAAGATCAAGGTCAATGAGATTTTTAGTGATATAGTGCAAAAGAAGGATTTAAAATGTTAATAAAATTGAGTCGAGAAGGGCTACGAGCCATAAGAAAAAGATGTAATGAAAATAATATAGTGTATTAAACAAGATATAGATATTACAAACGACATTTCGATCCCGATCGGATCATTCTCAATGTTAAACAGAACAAATATAATTATTGAATTTAAATTATAAATTCTTAATTAAAATAAAAATAAAAATTGTAGACGACTTAAAAATAATAATTAATAAAAATACAGATAATAATAACAGATTAATAATAACAACAGATAATAATTAATAATAATTAATAATAACAGATTAATAACAGACGTAAGATCGCTAGATCTTATCCTGTGATTATTACGCTGATAAGTCACACATGTTCTTCGCATCATAGAAATCACAACAGACTCCATTATCAACCAATAAGAATGTGTATGTAAAATATTGTTGCTCGTTACAAATGTATCATGATTAAATTACTAAAAAATCGAAGACTATAGAAACAGTAAAACAATCAATATAATAATATAAAAATATATAAATCTAAAAACAATTAGTATAAATTTAATAAAAGTAAAAAAATAATTGAATTAAATATAATAAGTAAAACTAATGAAGACCTTAAAATGTAAAATCAGTTATAATATCCAAAATTGAAAGATAAGATCAGTCGGAATATAAAAATATATAATATAAAGCAGATTGCGATAGAATGTCTTTATTGTCTGACTAAATTGCGTTCCACTTAACGATCGCAAGCATCGTTTGTACTTGTTTAACATTTGATAAACGACAAGGATGAAATGATTCCACAAGCATTGTGAGCGTTAAGTGGAACGCAGCTCAAATGTTATGAAATGACAAAAATGTTACAATTACAAGTGGAGGGGCAGGGGGGGGGGGGAAGAACTGACAGGGAAATGGTAACTGAGAAAGGGGGAGAAAAAAGAACTAGGAAAATGAAGGGAATTGCATAATAGGAAGATTTATATAGCGATTCCGTGTCATTCTGCCTATTTAGATCTTATCTTTGCTTTTTTATGTGAACCAGATATTAATCGCTTGTTGTAAGAAGGCTCGCTATATAAAATTCTTACTTTATTCCACTTAAACTCTGGTTACAATTAATTTTGTAGTTAGTGATAACCGATGATTGATCCCGTTTTCTTCTTTTTCTTTATATCTGACTTATAGTTCCTGTAATCTATTTTTTAATTTTCTCTCGTTTGATCACGTAGCTGGTATCATAATCCTCGCAATATATTTTATAAACAACCTCTTGATTTGATAAGAAATCCAATTGGTCTTTGTCTTTTTTTATGTAATTTTAAGAGTGTTAGGGAAAAGGCTAATTTTGAATTCATTTTAAGAGCAATGGACATAAAACTTTCAAAAACCGATTTAACGTATAGGATAGTAAAAAATTGTTGAATAATTTTTTCCTTTTTTATTAGGTTGAACAATATTGCTTTTGTGGATGTGGTAATTTAATCTATTCTATATAGGAAAAAATAAAGAGGATAACCATTATCCAAGAAAGAATGGGTTCGTAGCCCTTCTCGACACAATTTTATTTATATTATTTAGGCCATTCTTTACTATATATATAAAAATGTTAATTTTAAGAGATGTAATATATCAATTGTTATGTATTAATGTATACATTTTCAACGAAATTTTTCCAATTGTTACAAGTTGTTCAAACAGTTGTTTATTAATCTATTAGGTGTTGGAATTAATTCGTAGCGTTTTTAATGAAAGAATGTTATTTATTTCACATGAGCATTAAAAAATACATTAATGAAAGTACTTCCCATCACTTGTAAAACGCTACGAATTAATTCCAACACCTAATAATTACAATTGAAGCTACTTCATTATTATTAATTTGCAGTGATTGTAATTATTTACCTTCTTCCATGATAGATTTTGGTGCTCTCTCGTTTTCGTCCATGATGGTTCTCCTGCGGTTTCTCGCCTTCCAAGCGTGATAAACTTTCAGTCTGCGATGAAATTCATGACGACAAGCCTGGAATAAATAATTTTAAATAAAAAAAGTTACGGTTATATAACCGATATGCGTGCACGTACTTCAAGTAACTCAATGTCGCAGGACGTATTGATTGCGTCTCGCAACTCAGAGTACTTCCACTTCGACAAATCGTACTTCTTGTTGCTCATAGCCGCCTGTTGATTACGAACCTGCTCCGATCTACATTGCAAACAGATATTCATAAGAAAATAATATATAATGGATTTATAACATTCCGTAATACAATATTTTAACATTGGAATATATCATGCGCTAAAAAACAAATGCTGGTATTAGTCAACAAGAAAGTTAATAGCCGAAATTAGTGCATCATGCGGTTCAGTGTGAGTAAAAAATTTACACGAGAATCTGAAAGTGTTAAAATAAATCTCACAATTAATAGTATGCCTAAAAATGTACATAGAATCATTTATTTTCTTTGACAGATTCTTTGAGAAATTACAAGCCTTTCTTTGATAGAGAATAATTTATTTGCGAAATAGGCTTTATCGAAGAATCGGTCGATGAAAAATGAATGTGGATCAATGCGTGCGAGGATTATTAATTCATTCGAAAAGGAGAATTTCATTAGAAGTTAGTCTTTTACACGAGAAACCCGAATAATTATACGGTACCTTATTAGCCTGTTGTTGTTCATAGGTGTTCGTACATCGGAGCCACTGCATCAATTTAAACAACAAAATTGTATCTTATTTCTATTTTAACAACGTTCTTGATTTTTCTCATATTTAAATCAACGAATGTAAAATTATATGTATCGATCAATATACCGATGAAGTTACAGTTGAATGAAATTATAACTGACAATTTTAATAATTCAAAAATATCGTTTATATTTTGTACGTATCAGTTATATTAATTAACAAATAAGATTTTTACCTTCGTATAGGCGGTGGTGAATCCTCGACTTGACCATTCGATTCTTGAGCAAGTCTGACCGCCAATTCGTGGTCTCTTCTTTCTTGTTCCAGTAATTCTCGGTACCGATTCTCCTCCATGGCTTCTTTCTCCAATTGAGCCTTTAAATAATACAAAATAAGAGCATATATAAATATATATTAATAATTAAATATTTACAAAAAAATTGTCAGACTATTTATCAATTCTTTGGTAAATAAAAAAAAATTTTTTTTAATATTTATTATTTCTCGAATTTAAAAATAAGCTAAACTATTTGTAAGTATAAAATAAAAATACATAAACACTTTGCTTATAACAATTTAGATTTTTACACTAAAATTAATTTACCTGTTTATAAATTAATATTATCACACAGAAACTTAACGAACCTGAAGAGCAGCTGCGGTCTTTTGATCCTCCTCCTCTTGTTTTCTCCTCTGCTCCTCTTCGATCTTTCTTCTGGCTTCCATATCGAGTTTTTTCCTCCTGTTCTCTTCCTCCTCCCTCCTCCTGCGTTCCTCCTCCTCCTTTCGTTTCTTCTTGCTTGTTCCTCAGCGACTTTCTGCTGCTTCACCATGTCTTGAAGAGCGATCATTTGTTTATTCATCTGATTTACTAGAGATGTGTAAAGACCGTCGATCTCCGTCGGTGCAATCCTTGGATTGTTTTTGATTTTACGTATAGCTGCCTCTAGATCGTCGTCGAGCCTCTTCATGTCCTGCGTCGATTTCTCCCGATTCTTCAACTGACTCGCGGTCTCCTCCATTCGTGTCAACTGCTTCCGTAGATTCTTGATTTTCATAATACCGCGAATACGTGGCCGGTGTTGTTTCTTCGCGATGTACATCCTCGCCGTTTTCTGCAACACAATCAGATGCTGTTGCCGATAGATGATCTTGTTCTTCAGCTTGATCACCGACAACGCACAGAACTGCAGCTTGTTCCAGCGCGACTTCAGTAGCCACTTCTTCACATTAGCAACTAGCTTGCGCAGATTCTCCGGATCGGACTTCATAATCCGATCAAATTCTGCGAACTTGCCTGGCTTGAAGAAGACTCGGGTGATGCCGAACTTGAAGTCCTTCTGATTCAGCTTTAGACTGTGCAGCAGAGCTTCGCAGAAGAATCTGGGATCGAGCTTGGCAAGCTCCGGCGGCAAGTAAGACTTGTACATATTATAAAGTTCGTGAAAAGGGACCCGGCTAGGATATCCGTGCTCCATCAATTCCAGAACCGACGTCATTCCCGAACAGCGTAGTTGATTCATAATGCTGTTACCGTCGAATTGATGCGCTACCATATCGCTATTCGGCTTGATGCATCTTATAAAGTTTGTTCCCTAAAAAATTCAGGTAAGCATTATAAACAGAGAAGACAGAATAAAGTGTAAAAAAATTAAAAAATCCGTATTCTTACATTGCTTTTTAACTTGTCCATCAGTTCGCCGAGCTGCGTCTTGAATTTACTGCCGACACTGATAAAGGTGAGTTTTCCCTTTTGCAACGAATGATTGGCGAATTGCGTCCTAAGGAATTTATTCCCACTTTCCTGAATAAGCCCTTCTAAGGAAGCGTGCAGTGCATCGTTGTTTTTTTCAATGAACTGATTCTATAGGATCAAAATATAAACTCACAGTTACATACATATTTTTTCAGAAATTTTTCTGGATGCAAAAATTCAAAATGATTCTGGATGCTAAAAATCAGGAAAATGTCTTTAAAAAATGCATTTATGATTTTTTTATTTTCCTTATTTTGCAATTTTTTACCGTTTGATAGCAGACACCGCCGGCGTAATGGCGAATCACGAAGCCCTCATCATCTCGTAATTCTCGATGAGCCTTCAATCGTGACGTTCGCGGTAAAGTGATGCGGAAGTGACCATTCCACGCGCGGTGAACCTCGTTGGTGAAATGTGCGAAACTGTGAGTTGGCAGTTTCGACTCCTCGTCTAGCAGGAAGAAGATACCTGTATTCTTCGATTCGATTAAATCTGAAAGTTAGCGTGACACGCAATTTATTTTCAAAATCTATAAGAAATACTATTTATCATGAAATGTTATCTTAAGAAAAACTGTGAAAACATTTGTTTGGATAAAACGATACGTCTTCTAAATTACTTTACATAAAAAATAATTAAATAATTCATTAATTGATAATACATACCCGGGAAAAAAATATATATATGATATGAAATATATATGAAACATTTTTTCCGGATAATTTATAATTTTTCATTTTAAGGAATAAATGTCCGAATTTATGATTTGCTCTTTATTATTTGCAACTTTAATTTTACGCACCGATGCAATCCTGATTATCGACGTACGAGATTTTTGGAACGTTCAAGGACTCTCGGGCGTAAAGCTCCTGCTCATATTTCAGGATCCGTTCGTTGAAGAACTGCTGAAGTTTCTCGTTGCAGTAGTTTATGCAAAACTGTTCGAAGCTATTGACTTTGAAGTATTCTACGCATGAGAAATAAAAATTGTTACGATTCGCTTTTATATAAATCAGAAAAATGTTCACTGATTAAGAACATTGTTCTCACCAAATCCTGCAATGTCCAGTACGCCAATATAGTAACTTGAAGCCTTGAAAGGTATGCTCTTGTTAATCCGCGCAACAATGTGATCAAACAATTTGCTATAAATAGCCTTGCCGAGAGCGTCCCTAGCATTATGGGCTTCGTAAACCTTCAGGGGCACCCTATTGCAATTAGACAGTTAGAAAGAATAATAAAAAAGGCCGCATTATAACAGAAAATTTAAAAAATATTTAAATTCATTAAAAAAGCAATAAAAAGTAGAATATTATTTAAAATCTTTGTGTACTCACATGATGACGGTCCCTTTGATACCACCCCGATTGGTTTGCATTACTTTCGAGACAAGAGCTTGTCGCAACTCTTCGGGATCAACTCCCAGTAACTTTGCGGATATCGTTACCGCTTTTCCCGAGTCGGCGGTTATCCTACAACCGCCTTTTGTATCCTCCGGATTATCCTCGAACATAATGTTGCCGAGATGTAGCACTGCAGCCACCATCGTGTAGATCTCCATGCGTTCCGCATCCGTTAAACCGAGTCGAGTAAATGCCTTTCATATTATAAAAATAATAAAAAGAATGAAAATATTAGCGCAAATATACAAGAAATTTCAGAAATATATTAACAAAATAAACAATAAAATAAAATATCTTAACAGGACTCTCACTTCTTAAAATAACAATAATAATCGATTCAAGGCTAATAAGAATCAGCGCGGGAGGGAGTGCGCAATATTAATGTGGAATGATGACTTAATTCCAATTTTTTTATGATATCTTCTTTATTCAAAGTATTGAACGTTTCGATTCTCTTTGGAGTCTTCCTCAGCAAACAATCATCGCAGTATAATTTGATGTTAGACACGGTCAACACTCTACAAATATTGTAATTAGTTCCGATATAATGACTAAATCTTATAATTATTGAATTCAAGAATATCCAAAGCTTCTAAACATGTTTGGAGTCCATTAAGCGTCCACTTCGGACTTGGAAACCTGTAAAGTGGTGACTTTTCTTGACGGACTATCGGGTTGTTCTGCGATGATTATTATTATTACTATTCTAACAAATCGAGATTAAATAATTACTGGAGATTTTCAAGTTTTCAAATTGTTTGAAATCGCTTGATTTATGTCACTGAAAAAAATTTCGCCATACCTGATCGATAGCATTAAATCCTTCAACATCATCCAAAATAGGATCGTGGAGACTACCCTTTTGTGTTTGCTCGCGACTCTTTTGCGCCTCATTCAATCGTTTCTCCGATCTCGCGTTGCAGAAATACTGAGTGCAGCCATTCCTCAGATAATGAAAGTCATCCGGCTTGGTAATCCCCAATTTTGCGCGCAAATCAGCCGACGCACCAGCGCACATCATGTAGAACACATGATAATTCCGCTCGTCCGGGCTCTGCAGGCACACCCTGGACTTCTCCAGCAAGTAGTGGGAGATGTATCCGCCGACCACCTGACACTTGGCATCGAAATGCACCTCCATGAACTTGCCGAAGCGTGAGCTGTTATTGTTGCGCTTCGTCTTCGCATTACCGAACGCTTCCAGAACCGGAGTTGCTACGAATCAATTGTAACAAAAAATACGTCACAATCGATTTCTAACTTGTCAAACCATGACGCTGAGTAAACAAGAAGAACAAGATTCTTTTAAAACGCATTGTTTAGCTTGCGTATTTTTTATGTTTAATAAAAATAAAAACATTCAATAAAAATATTATATATTTAATATTATACAAGGTGTTTGATAAGTAATGATAAAACTCCCGCATAGGAGTAGAGCGGACTGAATTGAGTTGAAAAGTCCTGTACTATTTTACAATTTTCGCAATAGTTAACAAAATATTAATTACTAAAAATCGCTGAAATACTAGTTTTCAATAATTTTTTACTCAAGTACTTTCAACTTTATAAAAAAATAGCAAGTGACAAAGGTTTATTTTCTTCTCATAGAGTTCTGAGAATTTTTTCAGAATTTTTCATAATACCGCATTTTCTCATTGGAAAAAGTAGTTGCCAATAAGAAAATGTAATATTAAAAAATTGATAAAAAATTCTGAAAAAATTCTTAGAGCTCTAGAAGAAAATAAACAATTTCTGTCTCTTACTGTTTTTCTGTAAAATTGATAATACTTGAGTAAAAAATTATTGAAAATCAATATTTGGTGATATTTAGAGTAATTGATATCTTACTAATAATTACGAAAAATTGCAAAATGGTAGAGAACTTTTCAGTTTAATCCGCTCTACCCCTACGCAAGAGATTTTATCATTACTAATCAAACATCCTGTATATGATGTTATTCTATTAAAATATTCTGTAATTTATGAATACACATATACTATATACACATATACTATATTTTATAATTAGCAACAAATAATGTTGTATGCATTTATTATAATATTTTTGTTCTTATATAATTGATTCATTTTTTTGTAAAAATTAATAAATTTCAAAGTTTGAGATTATAAATATTAAAAAGAAAATGGCAAGTTTTTTAATATTTGTCATTATTATGACTTTGAGTTTATGGTACTTGAGATCATGTTGAAAGAATCGCAAAATTACCATAAAAATAAAAACATTAACTATTATATAATTATTTAATTAAAAATTTAATTTTTATTTCACGATGTTAGTTGGACGGAATTAAACTTCACGGATTTAATTGGGGTTCGTATTAATTATTTTCTTTTACCATCAAGAATCCTCTGTTCAATCGGACCGGCCGTCGAACCCCAGAGATCACAGAGATACCGCAGGAGATACTTAGTCGACTCGGTCTTGCCAGCTCCCGATTCACCGGATACGATAATGCTTTGAGATTGTTTCAGCACTTTCATATCTCTAAACGCTTTGTCGCCTGCAAACATAAAGCAAATGACTCTATACTCTCGCCGAGAACGAATCAATTAGGGGGGAAAGGGGGGGGTAAGAGTCATATAGGTGTGTGTACGCGATCACGTACCGATGGCGAAGACGTGCGGTGGCGTTTCACCCAAAGATTTTCCTTGATAACCTTTGATAGTCCGCGGTGAATAGAGATCCTTCACCTCGTAATACGGATTCACAGCTATCAGAATGTTGGCGACGTAAGTCTGAAATTTAACGATGTAACGAGAGATTAAGAATGACAAAAGTGGTCGTCGACCTCAGCATCATCGTAATCACTTACATATATTCTGTCCTTGAAATAACGAGTGCGAATATTATTTAGCAGCGTGGCCTCATTCAGGTACATCAAGGCACCTGGAAGGAGATAATTTAGAGATAAAAAGATGAGTGGGAGAAAAGGATCAGTGAAAGTGCCTTTGCAAAAGAGCGAAAGTCGCGTGAGAAGCGAGCGTGACCGAGCGATCTTAATCTAGCTCTGATATATAAAATAGACGAAACGCACAAATGCGTCACGGTGTGTAGTAATCGGGGGGAGGAATTGCGAATAAATAGCAACGTATCTTTTCACTCCCGTTTTCTTCGCTCTTAAGAAGGTTTTCTACTTTATCGCGTTGTTTTTTAAGAATTTATTGATATTATTTATTTATATTACTTTTAGGAATTTTTTTGGGAAGGGGGATAGAAAAATATTTTTGAAAATTAAATCTCTTTAACATATACATTCGCAGCAAGATCAGCATTGTCTTACTTTTGTTGGCAAAGTCAAAGTTTCTCAGAATTTTTCTTTTCTTGTCTTTCGTTAAAATTACAACGGACAAGTTTTGAGAGAAAATATTTACAATTATCCTCGACATCTTTGGTGTAATCGCCGGCAGGATATACTTCGTCCAGTGGACAGGTGCGTTGCGGATATTTCGGATCGAGGGGCATGATCAAAGCATCCCCGTCCACCATGTCCGTGAATTTCCCGATGATGAAACCCTCCTGAGGGTCACGGACCCACACCTGTTGGTTCTCCATCCCGAGCTTTACTCTAGAACAAACGATTACGAAATGATACATTCTGCGATCTTTTCTTATTTTTACTCTTTAGTCTATGTTTTAGATTCTTCGAGAGAAAGTGCATTAACTAGAACGTTTCGTATAATATAAATCATAATTTTCTAACGTGAAAAGTACAATAAAAATTATTTATGAGAAATGTTATCGCATATGTAGAATATCTTAAGATCATCCGACGATCTCTTTTTGTTGTCTTACAGTTAATTCCTTTAGCTAATTTAAAATTAATATTCTTTCATAAATTAAATTATCGTCAGTAATTTTCAAGCAATTAGCCGTTTAAATTAAAGAATTCTTTTGAGTATTGGAAGAAAATTTTAAATTCTGGTCTGTTCAAATTTATTGTATAATATTATCATTTGAGTCAATATGGTTAAAAGTTCTAAAAATAAAAAAAATTTCACAATAAATCTTATATTAATAAACAAAGTCAAATATCAGAAAAAGTTTTTAATCCTCTGCTGACAATTAGGATCTTTAAAGGCTTCATTGATATTTTGATTGTAAATTTTGATAGATGAATTTAAATCTGTAAAAAAATAAATTAAATATAATTCGACTTCTATGATAATAAAAATTTGTTACTGGAGCTTTAATAAGTATATCAAATTTTTTCAAATTTTTATATATTGTAATTTGAAACAATACAAAATTTGCTGTTTCTTAAAAACTTTTATTTGTTGATGCAAGAGTTAAAATTCATGTTACTGATAAATAAAATAAAATAAAAAATTAAATAAAATATTATTAAGAAAATATAAATTACATTTTAAGTCAAATAAATCCAAACAGATTCGCAAGATTAAATAAGCTTGATTAAGATCTTAATCTAATTTTGATGGAATTCTTTCTACGATGACCTTCGATTTCTTCGCTGCGAGAGAAAATCGATTTCAAATTGAACAAAGTATTTGTAGATAAACGGATATCCGGTAGTTTCGCAGAATTATCCAATACGAAAGCGCAAACTCACGTTGAAATTTGCAACGAGAACGATCAACGCGAACGAGCGAGCTATAAAGATGAACGAATCCATTTGTCATTCTCACTTATACGGAATGTAAATCGCCAATGACAATTTCTGCTGATGCATACACTTTCTAGCCGTGTCTTTCGAAGAAGTTTCCGGCGAATGAATCGTCCATGTCTGACTTCCGGCGCTCTACCACGTATGCTGAATGGAGATTCTTAGCAGTCCCATCAATTCTTGGTTTTATTTTAAGCCGTGTATTACCTATTGGCGAAAGAAGCAACAAAAGTGCTGTGACGATCGATAAGGATTGAAGAAGGATTGGTCGTAGTCTAAACGATAGTCTGACAAACGAAGATCTCTCAGTTTAGCTTTAGATGAAAAAGCTTTAAATGATTCTAATAAATAGCAATCAGCGTGTTATCAGAATATATATGGAAAGAATGATTTTATTGAAATTAAAAAATTTTCTTAAATACAGATTTGAATAATTTTATTAAACCATCAAAATAGTTGTGTATTACGCTTAAGCGTTAATAACAAAGCTGCAAAAAGCATTCTAGCTATTAATTTGAACGTCTCGTATAATTTGATAATCCAAACATTTTGTGTGTGTGTGTGTGTGTGTGTGTGTGTGTGTGTGTGTGTGTATACACAAAGAATACATTTATAAATCTCATTATGTATCAAATATTTTCTTTGAATAGTAATGATACAAAATGCCTTATAAATTTCTGCAAAATTTCTTTCTTTAATCTTTTAGACTTAAATCAATATTAAAAATATTTTTAATTTCGTTTTCAAACAAAAATTACAGAATTATTAAATTAATTGTGTATTTCATTAAAACATTTTTTTCTTCCATTTTATTTAATTGAGTATTCTGTCTAAAATACTTCGCTAGTATAATTAAAATCGATTATTCTAGAATATTCTATATATACGCAATGATCATCCCGTGACATGTAGGACAATTCTGTGATAATAACGGAAGTAGAAGCTTATCGGTTTGAAAATTGGATGAAATTTGGACTTGCACTTTGATATTAATACTCTTCTTTTTTCCTCAAAAATTGAAATTCTCAATTTATCGCTTATCACAACACGTTATCGAGATAAGCATGACAGAAGGTACGACGAATTCAAAATAATCGCCAAAACCATATAGTGCAGCTGCTCCGTGTATTCTTTTCGCTTCTCTTTCTTAAAATAACGGACGATATCGGATTATGTTTCACCTGTCAAGTATATCTCCTTTGTATCAACATTATTATTTCATAGATTCCTAAGAAATTCTATAATATAAAATATGAAATTATAACGTATCTCTTTCTCGAAGCTCTCGTTTCTAAAATTAATATTTAAAATATTGACTACCCCAGCAAAAATCTATAAATGAAACAAAAATATTGACAACTCATTTCACCTTGTGAAAATTTCAAAAACCTTAGGAAGTTGAAGATTTGTGTCTTTTTCTCAAAATTATTATTCACAAATTGTGTAATGAATACAAAAAATTGTAATTGAACTCCAAATTGTATTTATAAAAAATTTTCGCATAAAAAAAAGTGTAATCATATATTCATTCAAAATTTTGGGTTTTCAAAAAATATTTATTTACAAAAAAACTATGAATATTTAACGAGTATTCATATTCATTCAAACAAAATATAAACTGAAAAAAAGCTCCAATAAGCAATCGTTACCCTTAACTATAACCGGCTATAATTTTGATGACTTTAAGTAAAAAGAAATGAATTTTATTTATTTTTGTCATTGTAATATTCAAATTTTGTGAAGGAAACTTAGAAATTTTAAAAAATATTTTAATACATTTTTTATTTATAAATAATTTATATCTATTTGATAGAACGCTATATACATATTCCAATATAATTCCGATTACGTCACAGTAATGAAATTCATAAACGTGTTATAAGATATCTTGGGTGCGTCGTTCATTATGATGGACATTAAATTCTGAGATATATTATTTATTTTCAATAAAAATATCTTTGTTTAACCTATATGTCTATTATATAGGTAGGTAGTTTCTATAGATTTCTGTTTTCTCTTGCAGGCTTGCAAGCTATAAATGTGCAAATAATGCAGAGTAAAAGTGAATACAAAACGAAAATATTTGTAATCATATTGAAAAAATATTCATTCAAATGGAATGAAAAAGTATTTTATTCGTTTCTTGACGAATAAAAAAGAAGTGTATTCGAATGAGTATTTTCATTCACTTTTTATTCATTTATTCAAATATTAAGTATATATTCACCGGACACACTTTAGAAATTATTATTTACAAATTCCTCAATTTTCTGCCTGTCTTCGCTATCATGCGGGGACAATTTTCTCGATTGCGTAACTCAATCCTCTCGACGATTTTCGAGTTCAGCATGCGCGGCGGACACGCTTCCCGAGGTTGTGCAGGCGGTCGTGCGCGGCGATAAAATCACAGGCACAGAGGTACAAAACTCGTCGTCGTCATCGTCGTTCTGGCGACACGGCCACACCGTGTGTGTTTTCCGGCGTCACCAGGTACGACAATCCGACAGGCAGCCGCGCGCGATCAAAGGTCGTCACGAGCCGCTGCATCTCGCGTTTTACACGTGACAGAATTTCGAAAAAGTTCCCGGTACCCCCATCCCTCGTCGTCGACCATGACACGCTGCACTAAACCTGTCGCATTTGCATACGAGTGCATCTGATATCTATAACATTTTATTAAGAACAAGTAAAAAGCGATTTAAATATATCCGGCTTATTACTTTTATTTATCGTACTAAACCGGTATCTTTCCTTTTGAGTTCAATTTGTTACGCCTTCAAGTGCTCCAGTTTTATTTTTTAAGCTAAATTGATATATAGTCTTTCTGTTACATATAAAAGCAGCAAATAAATTGGTAACCCAATCTATAATAGATCCGTTCTTTTTAGCTAAAGTTCTTGCACGATTCGTTTTTCTTTCTTTTTTCTTTACATTGAAGAGAAAAAGAGAAAAAATGAACCGTGCAAAAAGTTCAATTAAAAGGAATAATATTTTGTAGGCCTAATATTTTGTTATTTTTAACTTCCATGTGTGTCAACATGTAAATCCATCTCTATGTAGTTTCAAAGTAAATATCGCCTATATCTCTTTAAAATCAAGAGAGAGAGAGAGAGAGAGAGAGAGAAATAAATATAGATAAAGCATTTATTTCCATTCTAGAGCAAATCTTCTAAGAACGTACAAGTAATAACAATAATAATAATTAAGCAGGCAAAGAGAGAGACAGAGTTTTAAGTCTCGCTTAAAGTAACTTTGGTGCAATTCAGCCCTATAGAAATATTACGATTAGGTGTAATTCGACTTTGTAATTATGAATTTAAGTGCCGAAAGGAGTGCGTGACAAAACGTAAAACTCAATACGCAGTTCGGTAGAATAGCTGAATAAAGACTCTCTGAATACCTGCAATTGTTACTTGATATATAACACCGTGTGATTACCGTGTCGAATAGCAGTCGCAACTGCTGGGAATCACGCGCGGTCGATCTGGAAAGCGCGAGAAATTGCCTTGTTCCTTCTGTCGTACTCTCCGCATCCCGTTAGAGATATCGTAACGGTAAAAGCCAGCGGTAAATCCTTGCATCGATCCACAGGACATCGCAGCTACGAGTCGGTGGTGCATGTATTTTGAATCGCGCTAATCCACGGAACCGAATCTCATCTGGTCTACTGATGACGAACAACGGCGACGACGGATATCGAAACGTGACGGCTGTCTGAATCGACTCTACCACGAAACGATGCGATCGAACGAAGCGAACAATGTAGCAACACGTCGCGGCGTCTAAGCATGCTAAGAAGCAATTTTCTGCGTTCCGAGAGATGAGAGGTGCATCGCAAATAGGAAGAAGAAAGAGAGGAAGAGACAGAGAGAGAGAGAGAGAGAGGGGCGAGGAATCGTTCGTATCGGTTCGTTCACCTTCTTCTACATAGCAGAAGAAACCGTAACGTCCAGATGTTGCATCGTTTTTCTCCTTTCCCTCCCGCGTCGTCTCGTTAACCCTTTCCTTTTTCTTCTTTTCCTCTTTTTTTTTTTTTTTTAATTCGCGATACAGCAAGGCGCGGTACTATCGATCCTCCGGCTTTCTCACTCTCGGGCTCGGCGTCTCTTAAGATCGCTTTCGAGCATTGTTCCTCGATCGAGGTGTGGTTCCTCGCGAGGCGCGTTCTCCGCCTTTCGTTCGCGACCTCAGGTTTATAGAGACAATCGTGCTAATGCGCGATCCGAATCTCGATCCGAACGTACTTTGCGTGCGGAGATACCTCGCGCTGACGCGTCGCGCGACAGACCTCTAAATCCATTGAAAGAGCCGGTCGAAAGGGAATGAAAGGGACGTGAGAGGAAATAGGAAACGGCAGGTGGGACTGGCATACGAAACAGGGAGACACGCGTGAGCGCTCATCGAATTTACCATACTGAAACTCGCAGTCAAAATAAAGGAAAAAAAATATATAGTCCGTGAATTCTCTCCAAAGTCTTCTACTATTCTTCCAAAAAAAGATAGATACAGATATCTTTAACGTTTTTATTTATTATGACTTCATCAGCGGCATAAGAACAGGAAAAAATAATGGAGGTTTTATTGTAATGAAGGAAGGAAATATCCATCGTTTGTGTTTTTAAATTTATAGTATAGATTAAACATTATATGTAATTTAAAGTTGAAAAATTCTTAAAAAATTGAATAAAAAAACTAATAACAAAAGTTTTAATGAGACTCACATATGTTCCTCTTATAGATTAATCGCGTTAATAAAATTATTTATTTATGTACTATTTAATAATTAGTTATTTAATTATTTATTATTTATTTTGTTACAAAAATAATGCGTTAATTTTATTATACAATCGCAATTGAAAGATTTGCAATCCCGAATCGCAATATTAAAAATGAAATCGATAAGTAGATAGCACGTAATCAGAAACAATAAATATATTATGTAAGTACAGTTCGATGTTTATGAAAATGCATTTATTAAAATATAGTTTATTCTCAAAACCAAATAAGATCATTTCGTTAATCGATAAACTTTCAGCAAATGAGAGATCTAATTATATCAATATATTCGCCGCGCGATAGGTTTCTTGTTTCAATCACGGTAATGTTTCACGTCATTTAACATTAATTAGAACAACCTTCACACTATCACCGTCATCAAGAGCACTTAGTGATTAGATCGAGTACAGTGGGTCGAGCTTTCGGTCCCGCGGTCTGCCATTTGAATCAAGTTCCGCTCAACATTTTATGGCAATTAACGGAGCAGCGCATTTTGTAAAATAATTCAACTATATATCTTCAACTACGCCGAAATATTATCTAGATACATTCTCGATTAATCTCATCATATAATATTACATATTATTAGCTGTTACTGCTAATTTAACTACATATTGTATTATTTCGCTATGTCATCATTAAATAGCATTGGCTACATAATGTGAACATTTTTTCGATCAGTGACGTGACGTGATTCCTTGGAATACATCGCAGACACCATTAGTTTAACAGTACATGTAGACATATACAGCGAGTGCAAAAAGTATTCGTATAGAGAAAATATTTTTTAAAAAAACTTTATTTTTAAAGTGTAAATATTATTCAGCGAGAAATGAGTCATTGAATTGATGTCGAATCGATATCGATATGATAATTTCAATATCAATTTGACGTCGATTCCAAAAAGATGTGTATTAATTATAGAAAATATATCATCTGAAAAAAAATTGAAAATTAAATATTGTATTGTTTGGATACTCAAAAAATATTCGTACATTTGAGAAATTTAGCTTCTAAAATTAGAAATACACGTTTGTTTATGTTAGAACATAATGTATTCATTGTATAAAATTTATTTCTTACAAATAAGACTTTTTTATAACAAATTTCCTTATACGAATACTTTTTGCTCTCACTGTATATGTGTGTTTATCCTGTAAAGCGAGCGGAAATTAATCTTGACAGTATCCGAGGATCGGAATGCAAATTTTTGATGGACGATTTACTGTAAAAGAAAATCGATCAATGCGATGGCTCGGGAACGGCATGATCGGAAGTCGCTACAATTCACATTTAAGTACACATAATCGAGACCACGGATGAGTCATGAGCGTCCTCGATGTCTCTCACGGCTGTTCGCCCACCTATATATACATATATAGGATCAAGCGATTCTTTTTCCGCGGTTGCGTAACGAAATTCACGCCGTATCATACATTCGTTCGTTGAAAGGATCCGCCACTAAATGACAGCGAGGTTCTTCTCGCAAGAGAATCTCAATTCTGTCGATTCACTTTCGCTGTTACTTTTGTTAAAGAGAAACAATAGGGCGACAAACGCTATCTCCAATTTGAATGAGTTTCTTACATGATAAAATGACGGAAAATGTTCCGAAATCATACGAAAGCATATTGTTCCGCATGTGTTCTTTTGTTGCTGAGGTCGGGATAATTTCAACAGCTGACTCGACGTCTCCGGCCAAGTATTACCGCAATGTATAGGAAAAAAAAATATAAAGTACCTTATTTCTCAGATGAAAAATTATACCGAGTTTGAAGACACTTCACATGGAAAGAATAGTTTTGCTGAAATATTTAAAAATTTAGCTAGATAGAGATTTGAAAATAAACTTTGTTGGACTATCAAAATTCATGTACACTGGAAAAAATAATTAAATTTTAATAAATGTTTGAAACATTCTATAAGCCAAATATCTACTAAATGTAAACGTACAGATTTATTTGATGTAAAAACTATTAATTCAACTATTATTTTTTTATTGTGAATAAATATTTATATTATTGTAAATATATGTTTATTTAGTACTATTAAAAAATATATATATTAACTAAAATTTGCAATGATTGCTAGAATATCAAAATTTTTTGCAGCAAAATTATTTATCGTGTTTATATTTTCCACATAAATATTTTCGATAAAATTATTTTCAAATCTGCAACTAGTTAATTATTAAATATATCAGCAAAATCGTTCTCTCCGTGAGAGAATAGATAAATCGCTCGCGAGAGATTTAGAGTGATTATGCGAAGCCAGGTTCGCACGCTAAATGACGTTTTCTCCAGCAGTAACAATTAAGACAAGAATTCCGAGGAATTATAAAATTGGTTTAAGTGTTCTTATTAAGAATCGCAATTAATACGACGTGTGGCACGAATGATTAAACTCGAGAAGAACAACGAAGTTACATCGCGCCCCACAATTATATGACGTTCGATAAGAAATCCGAGATAAAACGTAATTAAGAATTTTGTAACAATTAAAATAACTTTGAAGTAAAAATCGGGACATATAAATATATACGTACATGTAGAAAATTAAGTGCAAAACGCTTTAAATAATAACGTCACTCACAATACATTGCGATGTATGATTCATTATATATCAGACTTATCTGAAATAAAACCTGTTCACCCAATCGTTATCATTTGTATCGTTATCTCTCTCAGACTTAAGGTGATCGTTTTCGTAATTCTCTTCCTTTTTTTCGTCGAAAGAGACGCCGTTGTGAAAACGTAGAAAACCGGCAGCGGTAATTACGGTTTTGCACAAGTATTCATCCACCCATCTATTTCACAATTGAAACGACGTTTCGCGAGAGCGAGGTGCGCGTATCATCGTATACATATTACGCGTAATTTTTTTTTTAAGAGAACGCGGCCAATTTTTCTCTTTCTCCCCCTTTTTTTCTTTGTCCTCTGTCTAGCTGTCGGATTGTTTTACGAGGTGCACGTAGCCGTTTACGCAGGTTCACACACTAATTCACACAGGCCGCGCCGCGCTTTTGCATTCGCGCATTGCATTGCATTGCATTGCACCTGCGGCGCGCCGCTTCGTTCCACTCTCCTAATCACGGACTAGATAAACCGGCGAGCGTGCAGAAAAAGGAAAAAGAACTTCCAGCAACAATTTTTCATTCCCGCTTCGGCTCTCGCGCCACCGTAAAACAGACATACGGTAATACATTACGTAAAACCTATACGCGTCCGTACTTCTGAATTGTTTGCCCCGCTGATTTATTGAATGATAAACGACGAATGTGTGAATGTTTCTTTTCCTCTATTAAATCCGTAATCTTTTGCAAACAGGACAACTTTTAAAATAGATAAATATAATACATCATGGCTTTCTTCATAGCGCGAATTTGTTTTCACGTCTCCGAAACTGGAAAGTGGAGCTTGAATTCTATTCAAAAATTTATTGGAAATTAAAACAGATAAAGAGAATAATATAAATAAATATAAGAGAATGATATCCTATACTGTTTGCATTTTAGGAAGTTATTAGTTCTTCAAACTCCTTTTTCATCGTTAATACAAGTTCTCCGATTCATTCGCCCTCGATCTTGTTGTTCTTATTATACTTTCAAAGTCCCCCGGCTGATCAAAACATTGAGCATATACTTACGACGCATTACATGAAGATTATACTCGGATTACACCTGTTGAAAACAATAATTCGTGCTCGAGTAACGATAACTCGAGGATCGGCTTATCGCTACTCGGCGGAGCGCGCGGTCGCGCTCCGAAAAGTTTCGCGAAAATTCGCGGGTAGAATTTTCGCAAACAGTTCGCAGGGCAGATTTACGGAAAACGGTTTTACTTACCGTCTCGCCGTGCGAGGACAGTCAGCCGGCCGGAGCGAAACTATAACTTGCGAACGGCACAAAATTCCACATGCAACTGTCGGCGTGCTGTCGGCGTGTGGCGTGTCGACTCGGCGCGGCTTCGGACTGTTCGGAGCGACGAGCCCGCTTCGTCCGCTCGGCGATCCACGGCTGTTTCCGCCGATGCCACGCGGCAAACAGCGATCGTACCACCGTCGCTGTCGCTCGCATCAGCGATACCCCCGTTCACCCCCGTCCACCCCCGTCTAGAGATGATCTTGAAACACGGAATGATAAGAGGTCTGTTCTTTTTAGCTGAACTTCTTGCACGGTTCATCTTTCTTCCTTTTCCCTCCACGTTGGAGAGAAAAAGAGAAAAGGTGAACTGTACAAGAACTTTAGAAACTGAACCGAGAGATTCAAGGCGCGCAAATGAAATGAATTCTCGGATGCAGAGAGAGATTGAATTGTTCAAGATTTGAAATAATTATATATCTGAAATTATGTAGATCATTTTCGTGGTAGTCGTTGGTACCAGCGATGTCCCAAGCTTAAAATCAGTTGGAGAACGCGGATTAACGTTGAATGAAACGCATTTGTGACCAAACACTATTAAATTTGTAATCTACAATTTAAAGTGAAAAATAATATTATATAAAAATAATTTTTATAATTCATACTTAAATACTTTTTTGTATGTATATATTTTGATATGATTGCTGATTTACAAGATATATTTTTAGAGACAAAGATTTTTTAAATACTTAATACGTACATATGTAGTAAAATTTTATCATTGTATAAAATAATGATTTGTATTACAAACGTGATATGATTATCTAATTTTTTACTTTATTCATTTATTAGACAGACTAAAGCTGCGTTCTATTTGACGCTCGTAGCGCTATTTGTTTAACATTTGATAAACAAGACTGAAAGTATTCTAAGAGCGCTATGAGCGCTTTAATGGAACGCAACCTAATATATCTGTAATAGATTGTTATATCTAATATTACATTTATAAAATCGTTTATTATAACACAACAGAAATAGATTATCATGTTAATGTACAGTATACTTTGCTAACTTTTGAATTTATATTTTGTTGACTATAAACGTGACGGTGACAGTTATCAACAGCATGCCAATTTATCGAGTGTTGGTATAAATATAACAATTGTAATTTTAGAAAATTTGAAAAATATTTAAAAAATATAATTCAACATGAGATTAGTCTCTTTCTATATTTATCCAATTTTTAAACATTGAATGTTTTTTAACATTTTATTTTTTTACTCTGTTTAATAATCGATAGGTAAATTATCGATACTGTAGATATATATAAATTATTAAGATCATCAATATTTCATTCCTACAGCAATGTAATTATATAATAATTATATATAGTTATATATTGAACACATATAATTTTATCATTACTTTGTCTACATGTAACGTTGGAAAGCATACAAGACAATATAAGTCGGTTCTTTTCCTTGACATTTGATAATGATTTATTCACTGCGTAAATAGATTGCATTGATATTAATCAACATCTTCGTCAAGAAAAATTGGATCAGAAAGAGACGTGTTTGAAACAAACATCCGGTAGTTCAAAGACGCTATAAATAATAATACGAGAAAGTCGTAAATGCAGATCTCTGAAGTGCATACGCAATAAAGAGGCGAACAAATATCGTTACCGGCAATCGAGCAACACCGAGCTCGTGTTATAAGCGCTTCTGTTCTTCCTGTATTACTTACTACTTTAGACACCTGCCAATTGAAAAGATAAAACACGTAATAGAATGATTTATTGCATACATTTTATTTTCGATATTTTTAAACTTTATTTCCTGAATATTACGACTGGTCGTAAATAAGATTTATCCTCTTTTTCTTTGCTCTTTCAATTATATTATTTAATTAAAAAATCTCGAGCTTATTTGTTTTCGAAATTACAATAAAGTTCAAGTTTCGAGTCACGAAAATTAAAGAGTCTCAAAAATAGACAAAGTATCAGGAGAATATGATCGGCAACGAGATGGCACTGTCTAAGGTTCCAAGAGATCTCCATTGCGTAGTTGATATGTTTACCTTCTTTATTTATCTGTACAATTATCATAACTTTCAATACATTTTCTGCATGTGCATTTAAGGCATTTCTTTGTATTTAAAAAAAATTACTTTATTTAATCCAAAATACATATCCATGTTCGTAAAAAAAAAAAAAAAAAAAAAAAAAAAAAAAAACAAGTACTGTTCATCATTATCTCAATTTTATAAATGAATCATACTTTATACAATTTAGTATGCACGAATTTAATGATGTAGTCATAATCAGCGGTAATCCCGCTTACGATTTATTTGCATCAAACAGGATAATTTTATTTTTTCACGTTTTTCATTACTTTTTTATTTAAATTTTTTTTACAATTCAAATAGGTACTAATCAAACGAATACCATAAATTCCTTCAAAAGCTTTTATAAGCTGAAAAGAAATCTTATTTTAGGCAGGGATCTCATTGTGATATTATGCAATTAGATTTCAAGTTAAGTCAAACATCGAAATAGTTCCGGCTAGCAACAAGGAAAATTTAATAGCCGCAATTAGAAATCTAATTATATGCATTAGCTAAAAACAAGGCTATATTTTCAAATCAAGATAGTTATGATATCGAGACTTGGGCAAGAAAAATAGATTCGCGGATCACAATCTTTGTTTTTCATATTGACGTGATTAATATTTAAAAAGAAACATTTTATCTCTGGCCATCATAATTGTAGATAATATAAAAGCACAGTATAAATTAATTATCATAGTATCAAACGAGTGTATTATTTGACAAGCGATCAAAATAATATTTACGAAATCGAAGTAGCGCGATAAAATAATAAATAGTTTACTGACATTGAACTTTTGCAATTTCATGATTTTCGCAATCCCATCGAACGGACAGCGCGATTTCGCGAACTCGCGCAACTCAGTTTCCTCAACGTTGCAAGTGAAAGTTAAATACCTGAAACAGAATTTCATGTTGGTCATAGCGAACGGAAGTTCTTAAAAATATTGAAGACTACTGATGAAATTGTTTATCAGTTCTACACACATCATATTCCCATTAATAGTGCCTTTCTTGCGGAAATATATTGATATAAAATTGAGTTAACAATCAAGCAAGATTAAAGCACTTCAAGGAAAACTTCATCAAAGAAAACTTGAACATTCAATGATCTCCCTCAGAAAATAAAATTTTTTAACGTAGTATAAAAAGGAACTGTAATATAATTTTTCAAACATATATTTTTTCAAAGAAATTCTTATTTTCATTTTAAACATTTAGATTTTAGATAAAATGCATTTTTTTCGCAAAACTATAAAGAACTGTAAAAAGAGGATAGTTTACATGAAATATATATTTGTTTATTTCAAGATAAAAAATTAAACTTAACTTAAAATAAAAGAATAACAGAAGTGACTCATACTCGTTAGAATTCGTAAAAAAAAAAAGTGTAACAAAGCGCATTGTGTAAAAGCGAATGTTTCTTTATGAATTCTAAAGATGGTCACATCTTCTCAGTCATCGTCAGTTGTAATTTAAATGATATCGAGAATGCATACGGCGTTGCTTTTTCGGTATTCTTTTTTTGTTGCGTACATTTATAGACAGTGCAAAAGTAATGACGATTAAATTGTCGTTCGGTCGCCTTTCATCAAGATCTGTTGCAAATGATTCACGATCTTTTTTCGCAAGATGTGTAAACCAATTATATTTTAACGTTTAATTTATTTCGTTATACACATTAAATAAAAGCACATCAGGTATGTACACGATGATGATGCACTTGTTCTGCGTCGTACAAATCGGTAGATGTTTTCTGATGTGATTACGTCAGATATTCAAATTCGACGTAATCATGTTCAAAGAATAGAAAAAAACTATATATGGGAATATCGCAGGAGCCAACAAAGATTCCGACACTTCTAATGAATCTACATGAAACGAGTGATGAATTAATAGAAGAAGCGACAAAAATTCGTTTTGTAAACTTTCAAAATAGCTTTATTTAAAATATAAACATGATAATCTGCTCGTTATTGAAACTAGTTTCGCTTAATTTTAATGTATTTTAAATATATATTAAATTATATTATTATATTTTTAACATCTTATTTTATTCGCTCGTCTTTAGCCAAATTTTAATATAATTGATTTTGTATTATATATCTTTATTTACTTTTAATTTAATTGAACGATTGAATATAAAAAAGCTAAGATTTTTAAAACTGATTCTTAACTCTCGAAAGTGATTATCTAATTCTATGTATTCTAGAATAAAGTAAAGATAAATATCTTCCCATATTTCAATTCATTTTTTTTCTTTACGGAAATATCCTGTTTCAGCAAAAAAAATGAGTGACATGTTGACGTAATAGATATTTCAAGGCTACAACGCAGAAAAGAAAATATTTAACGATAAATAATTTGAAACAGAAAAGCAATGAGGCCAGCAACTGAAATAAGCAGGAAATATTTGTATCGGTTAAACTGAAAACACTTGCAATTCTGGATGAAAGAACAAAATAATTTACGATTAATATAACGCGTCAATTTATGTTATTTTTTTTCGCTATCTTTTAGTATTATTCGATATTTTTAACAATTAAAAAAAATGATAAAATAGAATTTAATTCAATTGCTTCATGTCTGTTAATTATTCATGCATATTACCATGTTGATTTAAATCACACCAATTTAAATTTATTTTTAATTAACAATGTAAGTACGCATAAGTACGTGTGCCGTGAGCAAAATAAACAACTTTTACTTTATATATAACTTTTACTTAATAATTTCCGAACGCAGAAATTATGTAAAAATGATACGAGCGAATTACAAAAATAATCTTTATTCGGTTATCTTCTACACATTGCATAGTAAATAACATTGATAAGCGGGTATCTTAATTAAATACACGCCCCTTGTCGTGCAATTAGAATGTTATTTTTAGTTTACAGAGCATAAAATTTCTTTTCTCATACATACGAAATTCTGCGAAAGCACGACGGGAGTTTCCCTTCATCGGGGGATTCTCGCGGAAGAATAGATAACGTGGAGAATCCGTGAAATAATTGTATACCACGGCATCATCC